ACGGGTGGCCCCCCCCCCGCTGACCCGCGGTGCGGGCCCGGCTCTAGCCGCGCCAGCCGCCGTGGTCCTCTCTCCCGCTGGAGAACCAGCTGGACAGAGCCTTTAACCCCTGGTTATCCCTCGGCCACTCGGTTAACTCTCCTGCCTCGATGCCGCTGTCCCTCTCAAGAGACCCCTCCATGCACAGCAGTCCTCACAGGGACCCCCGAGCCATACCCCTGCCTCTCCATCCCCAGAAAGAGATGGGATTTCCCGGTGTCTGTCAGGTCAAGGGCCAGTGCGCTTTTCTGGAGCATCGTATGGGCAATCTGTCTCCAGATAAGAAGCCAGACACCCACGTCAGTGCCTGAACAACAGCTTGAATTTCCAAGGAGAACAAATAGAAACTTCTTTGTCCCTTCAACAAAAGCTTAAACTCTGCAGAAATGGCTGTCGGAGAAGCACCGGCACCGCAGACTGACTGGGAGCAGCTCACCCAACCTCTCGCTATTTATTATCGCAATATTATATTATATTTAATTGCACTGTCTTCAAACAGCAACTTGCAGAGCCTCCCACTAGGGGCTTTTAAATACTTACGTTGTGTGTTGCTATTTATTGGTGTTTTCGTTAGCTCACTGCTTCACTATTTATTTATAATATGGGATTGTACTCGGAGTATGGCAGGAGCTAATAAAGCCATATTTACCTCCGTGTATTAATAATAACCATTAAATCCAAGAGACAGCCCGCTGGATTGAGCTTGCTTCGGCGATGTGTTTTCCAGGCGATTGCACAGCCTCTTCCCCCGCTTCTCCGCCTGGGTTTTGAAATGTGGTATTGATTGACTGTCGCGGTGCGGGAGGGTGAGCCCAGTTCAGCTGATACAACCAGCCACGCACGCTGTAAAATAGGGGAGATAAGTGGCAGGGACTGCTTTTGAGCCCTCGTGGGGTGGGTTTGGGCTGTGGGGCTATGACCGTGTCCAGCTTTGCTGGGGCTCAGAGCTGCCTGCGAGCTGCTCTGCTTGGGAGGAGATGTCTCTGGTTTGCCAGGCTTCCCATCCAATTTTTTTTTTGCTAAACAAGAGCATGTGTGGGACTTGATTTTTTTGGGGCAGCGTCTCGCTGCTAAAGATTGCTGCTTTCTTGGAAAGAGCTGCTCCACCCCTCTCCGCCGGTTAGCAGAGTAGGATTTTTTCCCAAAAAAAACAGCGCCCAGCAGACTGACGCCAGGTCTTCGAGAGAAGTGGAGCTAAGATATCCAAGAGCAAGCGGGGGGTGCAGCAGGAACAACCGTTTCAGGGCTTCGGCTGGCTCACGTGCAGCCTGTGCGCCCACTTTGTGTCTCTTCCCTAGGCGCAGCCAGGACTCACCCCAAAAGCTGCCTCTTTCCAAGCGGCATCCCACAAGCCAGACCCCGCAGGAGCCTGCGATGAGCTGTTCTGGTCCAGGCTACATAAAAAACAAAATGCAATTCTTTCCCATCAGCGTTTCAATGTGGGAGGAGGATCTGACCGTAGAAAGGGTTGATCCACACTCATAACTGAGAGCAAGGCTAGGGGTGTACCCAAATCCTCTCCCTCCCAGGTGGACCTCCCCCAGGATCTCCAAGCTGAATATTTTTGCTATAGGGATATAAGTTCACCTGCAGCCTTGTGGTCTCCCCTTCTGTGTCCGACCACAACCCACCCTGCTCCCCTTGAAACTCTCCCTTCCCCCTCTGCCTCCGTTCCCCCAGCCCATCCCAGTGTGGACGGGGACGTCCCCGCTTCGCTGCTGCAGGATGGGCTCCTGCATCCCAGCGTGGCCCTGGGCTCTGCGATGGCCCCAGGGCACAAGGATGCTATGGCAAGCTCTTTGGGGCAGAGCAGTTACGGAGAGCCCAGCTTGAAGGCAGTGCTGGAAACTGGATACAAGCTCACGTTAAAAAATATAATTGAAATGAAATAGGGCTGAAATGTCACGATTGTGGGATTGCTGGCGAAGGAGCAAGGTACCCGCTGGTCTGGGCATTGAAATCTCACAGGCTCAGTCGCTCTCATGGAGTTGCCATCTTCCTGGTGGAAATTTGGAAATGCTGAAGCTGGATTGTCGCTGGTTTTGGGTCCCAGTGGTTGACAGGGCACATTTATCCCTGGGGATTCAGGTCTGAACACGTCCATGGATAATCCCTGCAGCAGCTCCAGGCTCCGGGTTCGTTCTCTGCTCTAAGCAAAAAGACTCAGTGAACGAAACACGGCTGTTGAATATGGACTGCAGCAGGGTCCCGGAGCAGGAGCGAGGCCGTCGGCTTTACTGGGGATTTTCTGGGGGGTAACAATAGGGGTCTGGTTCGCAGCTGATGTCCTGTTGTTCCTGCAGAGACAAACCCTCTTCTCTCCACTTGAATCCTCAGGACATCCTGGAAGGTGGCAACTTACGTGTCCCGCTGCAGGAACTACACCAAATGATCCTCACCCCCATCAAAGCCTACTCTTCCCAAAACTCGAGCACGGAGGAGCACAGCCGGGACGCGGACTCGCATCACCCCTCCTCCCTGATCGGCTCGGACAGCCAAGGCTCTGACTGCAAGGACTCTGCCGCGGGGGGAATGCAGCAGCACCATTTGCCAGGATGCGAGGGCGAGTCGGGGGGGGCCCCTTTGCCCGAAGGTGACCTGCCCGGACAGTTCACCAGAGTGATGGGGAAAGGTGAGTGGCTGTCACGTGTTCCTGGCACCCTCGCTGGGGAGAGCTGCTTCGGGGCAGGGTGCGTGCGGTGGCGGCGCTGGCAGCAGCCTTTCCGCGAGCTCCTGCAAGCCGCAGTCCTAGGGGTGATGATTTTTTTGAGGCCCCATCGTACTGTGGTAAGAGGTAAGTGATTTTTGGGAGGGACAGCGATGGGACGAGCTGCCTGCCCCGGGTCAGAGGCAGATGGCATCCTCTCCCTCCCCCAGGTCAGGGGCGGATAGTGTCCTCTCCCTTCCCGTTTAGAGCCCTGGGGGCATCCTGCCGGTCCAGAGGTGTTTTCAGCAGCATCCCTCGGACTTGCTCTGCTTGGGGGGGATTAGCAGTGGCGCATGGGCTGGACGTGAGCCATCTTGAGTGCAAATCAGCTGGGCCCAAGCCCCTTTTTAAGCCCCAACTTAGATGCAGGACATCCAAAACACTCAGGTGCTGTTCCGTGCCCGGTGCGGGGTGCCCGGCTTTGCATCAGGATTAACACACTGGGAGGTGCACGGGAGCGATGTGAGGTAGGGCTCGACCTCCTGTGCCATATACAGGGCTCTTCGAGCAAATTTGTATGAGCTTGGATGTGTCCTAACCCCCGACGGTGGCACCTAAGGTGTCGGTGCTGGCTGCGTGGAGGGAGATTTCCCTGGGGAAAAGGGGAGGGGAGTCTCGTCCGCAGGCTCACGCAGGAGGCCAGGAACAGAAGGAAACTTGTTGGGGGTGCCACGACGAAATACCAGCCCTGTCCCTGTTTCAGACCTTTTTCGCAAAAAATAGATGAGAAGTTTTCTATATAAAAGCTTGGTGCAAAATTTCTCACCGGCTAATTGACTGCGTGCACAGACGAACGTGGGTTTCTGGCCCCATTTTAAACCCGCTGATGAATTCAGCCCGTGACAAATGCCTCCGTCACGCACGAAGCTGTATATGTGGCACAAACCTTGCCAGGACGAGGTGGCCTCCTGGACCGCAAAGCACCCCTGCCCGGGGGCTATGACGGGAGACAGTCATTTCTCTGTGAACTCATTTCCACTTGCTTTTATGGCATTAATTCCAAAAGAGGTTAAAATCCATCGGGAAAGGTGGGAATCCGTTCGCAGTGGGGACAGATTTTGGCCGTAGGAGCGGGAGCTCTCCCAGCACCGGCTCTTGCCTAGGAATAGGGAATAATGCTGTGCCCCTGATTTGCTCAGGTCTAATTTTGGTGACTCCGATGGTGTCACCCTGGATTTACGCTAACGTAACAGAGAACAAAATCTGGCCCTAAATATAGGACGGCACGGCAGGAATTGGGGAAGGGTGTTTTTTTCTCGCTGATGAGAAGACTCACACATGGGACAAGGGAAACGGGACGTCCAAGGCGTTCGTTGGGCCCCCCCTGGGCCCCGGCTCGGTGTCCCCATGCCCATTTCTCTTCTCTCTTTTGTTTCCAGTATGCACACAACTTCTCGTTTCCCGACCCGATGAAGAGAATATAAGTTCCTATTTACAGCTCATAGACAAATGTCTAATCCACGAGGTGAGTCGTGACGGATCATCTAAAACTGTTGTTCTCATCACTTAGAAACTGTTTCCAAAGTGTCTGTTTATGTAAACCTTTTGGTTTCTAACACAAGTATTTTTTGAGGGGTATCAATAGTAATTCTGACAGAACAGGGCTGGGGTGGGCAGCGGTGCGTGGAAGTGTTGCTCCCCGCCCCACGCTCGCTTAATTGCCAAGACCTGGAGCTGGGAAATTCATCCGGCTCGTGACGGTCTGATCAGCAGCTGGATGAAAGAAAAAATCCGGGGATGAACGTGCAGACAGACCTGGCCATCCCTTGGTGTTGCCGCCTCCCGTTACGCAGCACGTGGTCTTGGGATTTTGCGACAGGGGCATTTGTTTCTGCTCCCGGCGGATCTGCTTTTACCGGGTGGTGGCTCGGGATGGCCGAGGCTGTGCCGCAGGGCTCCGGCACGCTCCTGCCCTGTGACAGGGAGGGATGGCCGGTATCCCCGGCGTCCGGCGGCATTTCGTACCCCTGGCAGAACAATCTGCTTCTCATCGCCGGCCCATATGGCAGGGGTCAGGGGGAGATTGCACACCCCCTCACAGGAGCTGCAGGCTTTAAACATTTCTCAGTTATTTGTTTATAAAAAAATACGCTGTCAAAGCACAGAAGAATCTCCTCCGGAGAGGGCTGGTGGCTGCAAACCCCAAAATGTGCTGCAAGCCGCATGGAAGAGGAGAGAGGCGGCTCGCAGCCCCTTGCCTTGCAGCTGAAGCCGGTGCTCGAGCTGCGCTGGTGCGAAGGTTTGATCCACGCATCTCTGCAGGGCCAAGCACGGGGGATCTTGAACCGGGATGAAATAGTTGGACACTGGGCAAAACGCGAGTGCTTCAACATATTTTTTGAACTGTGCTCCCGGACACCTCTGTCGATCACGGTGGGGATTTCAGTGCATTTTGCTTGGCAGCGCCTGCGGTGTCAACTGACATTTGGCCCCGTGAAATACAGAGTGGTGACACCCACTGTTTGGGTTTGCTGCAAGACAGGTTTAGAGCCGCAGGTATGGTCTTCTCGGTGCTTTACACAGACACGGGCAGTGGCGAGTAACTGTTGGGGCTGGAGGGGAGAGCATGTCTGCTCCCACTTGCTCCCCTCTCAGAGAGCATCGGAGCCTGGAAATGGTGCCTGGACTTTCTGGGCGGCCGAGCAGGGCATCGCTGGGGGAGCAGAGGCATGAACAGAGGAGCGAGGATGGTGGGAGCAGACGCCCAGGGCTGGAGAGCAAAGCCAGGAAGACAGAGAGCTGCAGAGGGGCTCATTTTCCAGGAGCGCCTGGGATGGACGTGGTGACGCAGTGTCACCCCACCAGTGCCAGCCTGTGTCCCAGGACCACCGTCTGCGTCGGCTCCAGCGTAATCAGCGCCAGGAGAGAGCGTCTCCTCCGGAGGGTGGTTTGGAGCAATCGAGTCAGGCACTAATTAGCCTCCAAATTGTCCTCCGGAGACCTCCGCACCTCTCCGCTAGCAGCGCAGAGATCCTGGGTGTCTGAAGTTGGTGGTGGCAGGCACGTGGGTGTCCCCGTAACCCATACCGCCTGCCTGGAGGTCTGTGGCGTTTCGGGAGGAGGTCTGTCCCCTGCGTGGGTGATCCTTGCAGGGAGCCCAGGCAGGTGTCAGGGCTCACCCCGGGCGACCTCCCGCAGAGGCTGTTGGTGCCAGGAACAGAACCGAGCTTTGCCCAGCCCCCAGAAGGAGGATAGGATGCGGGATGCCACGGAGCAGCTCTGCTTTCCAAATCCCAGCATTTTCCAACCCCAGCAGCTTTTTTTAGAGCCACGTCCAGGTGACAAGTGTCACCACCCGGCGGGGACCAGCCACCAAACCCTGCGGGGAGCTGCGCTCACACCCCGGCAGCAAGCGGGGAGCCGGGCGCCCGTGCTTGCAGCATGAGCGGTGGGTCTGGGGCTAGGAGGGGTAGCAGGGAAGCTTTGGGGAAGCCCTGTTCTGCCCAGGGGGGGTTGGCAGCCTCAGGGGCAGAGCCGGGCCATCGCTCTGGGGCGCAGGGGACGCTGCCGGAGCATTTTCTCGACCTGAGATGAGTAAATCCTCGAGAGGGACCAGGGTTTCCCTCTGGACTTGCCGACGGGGCTCAGCTCACGCCACCGCCTGCTCCAGCTGTTTTTCTTTACACGCACACCCACATATGCAGCCCTGCTCACTTTGTCCAGAAAAATATTCATATGTTTCCTATTTTTCTCTTTTTTCTGGGGGCAGGCGTTTACAGAGATCCAGAAGAAGCGGCTGCTGTCATGGAAACAGCAGGTGCAGAAACTCTTTCGGTCTTTCCCTCGGAAATCCCTCCTGGAGCTGTCAGGCTATCGGCAGCAGAGGAGGTACGCCGGCTTTTGGGGATGGATGGATGCAGCGGCCGGGGGGCCCGGCAAGAGCATCTCGAGAGGGACCGATGTCTCCCAGCAGGGAGGGACTGATCCTGCCGGGTTCAGAGCCGCGTTTCAGGAGGGAGGAGGGTTGGAAAAGCTTCGGCAATAAAACCCCACGCGTGGGCTGGGAAGGGAAAGCAGCAGTAAGTTCGCTCGCGTGTGTGGTCAGCGCCTGCCCCACCGATTCCCACCGTGTCTCCCTGGCTCCGAACCCGGCGCTTCCCAGCTGTGCAGCGTATCCTCTGCCCCTGCTGCTGCCCTTGGCTAATTACATCAGTGCTGGAGTTGCACCAAAAAGCCGTCGACTGGCAAAAAAAGGGCTTGAAGCCTGCAGAGGGTGCAGAGCCAGGGGGCTGCAGTCAGAAAGCCGGGCAGGGCTGTGTTGCAAACACCATGTTTGCTCGCTTCCAAGGTGATGCTGGATTTCGGGTGATCCTAGAAAGCGTTGGGGTTATGGCAAGAAGAGATATTTTTAGATCAGTTGTAACAACATCAGCCTTTTGTTTCATTCTGCTGAGTCTATTTTATTGCAGTCTTGTGCAAGTTCTTTTTTCTCAAAAAGAAAGTGTTTTGGAGATAACCGGGAGCGTTGGGACAGCCGGGATGCGAGTTCAGAAGGAACGAGCGCAGAACCAGAGTGTTCCCCGGTGGAATTAAATGAAATATTTTGGAATGGAAAAAACAAGCAGTTTCAATGCTCGCAGCAGGATCAGAAGCAGAATAGACAAGAGCGAAGGTTTTTGATGGACCCGTTTGGTCTGGGCCATCACTGGCGCAGCAGCTTCGCTGCACGCCCAGGCCGACCCCAGGCACGAGGTGGGGCTGCCGGCTCGAAACGGTCCCAGTCCCTTTCCCGGGGCTGCCCAGGATGCTCTCCAGTTTCCTTGCTGCTTTTGGGTGGTTTGCATTTTGCCTTTCTTCTGCTCCTGGGAAGCTGCGGGCGAGGAAGGAGCACGCGGCCAGTCCTGCTTTTCTCATGGGGATTTAATGGCAAGAGCATTTTTTGGACGAGGTTTAAAGAAACCCCGTTGTACTCCTGCCTAGTAAATTTATCTGGTTTTGGGATCCCAGCGTGCTCATGTCGCCTGAAGCATATTTGCAGCCACCCACACAAGCAGGAGAGATGAGGGCTGGGAGGAAGGTGAGCTGAAACATCTGCGAGGGTGATTTAAGTGCCGGAGAAGGGCAGAGGGGAACGGGGAGCATAAAAGCAACCGCAGCTGTGGGTTTGCAGAGCGCTCCTATCCTCGGCTGTGCTTAAACCTGATAACGGCGTTGAGGTCCTACTGCCCAGCTAATCAGGCAGAGGTCCCAAGCCAACGTTGCATGGCGAGTTGACCCTGTGTTTCCAAGGATTACCTGATGATTTTTGTGTCATTCCTCTGGTTTTAAATGCAAAAACCCACACGGGGAGGGATGCCAGCGTGTCCGACCCTCCCCTCCAAAGAGTAAAGATGGTTTCGTGTCCCAAGATCGATGTCTCAGGACATTTGGGCTGCGTGGTCTTGGATCCAGATGGTTTTGCTCTGACCACGGGGAGCTGCATGAAGGTTTGCAGTACAGAGACGGGAGCGGGTGCGGAGTCAGTCCCACCTCTGCACGGATGTGCAGCTCAGCCCCTCCTTAGGAAATCTTGGACTTGTTAGGTCATTTTAAACCAAGTTTTCCAGAACTTGAGAGGTCTCAGAAAAGATAGCGTTCATAAAAATGAACCTCCTGGAAGGGGAGAAGGTCCAGCTCTTCAAGCGGCCCCAGTAAAGAAAACCCAACAGCATAAGCTGAACTTTTATCAGACACTAGAGAATCCACACACGAGAGATCTCTTTTGTACAGCTCAAAGGCATGAAGAGTTTAAGTCAAAACCCAAGAAACCAGGCACCACTAGCTCCAGGGGAGCCCGGGGAATTACCTGCGTTTGCATTTAAGAACAGGCCCATTTTGCAGGAGTAAAATAAATTTAAAAAAAAAAAAAAAAGTGAATCTGAGAACTGCAGAAGGGAGGGAGGGTGACTGGCAGACGGGAGGAAGAAAGGATGCTGCTGTTGTATGTGCAAACCTCCTCCTTCCCGCTGCACGTGCAGGATGGAGGACCATCCTCGGCGGGATGGGAGGGTCGGGGCAGGAGCAGAGCTCGCGGTGAACCCGTGGCCGTGGGGTGGCGAGCATCGGTACGGGCATGGGGTGGCGAGCATCGGTCCGGTGCTTCGCAACGATGCAGGGGCACCCTCGGGATGTTTGGCTGTTGGTCTGA